TTTAGTAGAGACGGGGTTTCACCATGTTAGCCAAGATGGTCTCGATCTCCTGACCTCGTGATCCACCTGCCGCGGCCTCCCAAAGTGCTGGAATTACAGGCGTGAGCCACCGCGCCCAGCCACAATTGTTTGACCAGTAGCTGGTGGGAAGGGCGGGAAGAGATGGAAGCCAGTGAAGGCACGTTTGATGATGTTCCATCCCTGGCCTGGAAGGTGTTTTCACAGTTCATTCATTTTACTGCTTTGAAAGTGTCTATGTATATTTCATGTAAATATACATTTTATGTTCACTAAATGTGTACTCAATATAACACTATTTTAGGGAGAATATAACCTTAACTTGAGACAAACCCGTGACGTGGCGGAACATAACAATGAGAATTCATTTAACATAAATGTCAGGAACATTTGCACTCATTCCACCTTAGGGACATTCAGGTCTACTTCTGTTCAGGTCTACTCAGGCTGCTTTGTTCTTTAGTGACTAATATTTATATTGTCACAATATTGCAAATTCTCATTATTGGCTTACAGTTTTTTACTTGACCTATAGGCAAGACCAAAAATTAAATTATTAACTAAATTAATATTAAGGAGGATGACTCAATAGTTACTGAACAGGATATAAGTATTTTAAATCTTGGTGATATAAAAGGAAAGATATAGCTGTGATGGGGAGGCGGGAGGGAAGGATAGATGGGTGAGTTTCAGAAAAGATACTGTCAGAAGGTGATTAATCAAGAGAAATAAGATTAAATATATTTAAAGTTACAAATGCCCACTAGAGGCACTAAAAGTAATAACAGAACTAATGAAAATTATAAGTGGGGGGGAGAATATTAAATACCTGGCCTCCGTCTAAAGTTGGTACATCTAGAAATAAAAACACATTGGCTGGACACGGTAGCTCACACCTGTAATCCCAGCACTTTGGGAAGCCAAGGAGGGCAGGTTACTTGAGGCCAGGAGTTTGAGAGCAGCCTGGCTAACACGGTGAAACCCCGTCTCTACTAAAAATACAAAAATTAGCGAGGCGTGATGGCATGTACCTATTATCCCTGCTACTCAGGAAGCTGAGGCAGGAGAATCATGTGAGATCACCCGGGAGGCAGGGATTGCAGTAAGCCGAGATCACACCACTGCACTCCAGCCTGGACACCAGAGTGAGACTCTATCTCAAAAAAGGAAAAACACGTCACTTAGACTAATGATTGAAGGACTAACAGAATTTTTTTTAAAAAAGCAAGCAAAGTCATTACCTTTTCTTTTCTGTTCATTTTTTTAAAACCATAAACATGGATTGCTTTTAATATAACTATGTAGAAACATTGCAGCATATGGCCGGGCACGGTGGCTCACACCTGTAATCTCAGCACTTTGGGAGGCTGAGGCAGACAGATCACAAGGTCAGGAGTTGGAGACTGGCCTGGCCAATATGGTGAAACCCTGTCTCTACTAAAAATACAAACATTAGCCGGGCATGGTGGCGTGCACCTGTAGTGCCAGCTACTCGGGAGGCTGAGGCAGGAGAATCACTTGAACCCGGGAGGCAGAAGTTGCAGTGAAGAGAGTGCACCATTGCACTCCAGCCTGGGCGACAGAGTGAGACTTCGTCTCAAAAACAAAACAAAACAAAAAAAGTTGCGGTATAGCAAAACTTCCCTCTGCAGAATTCAGTTTAATGCAGGATTGTTTTGATTTCCTTTTCAAAAAACATATTTAGTCCCTATATGACACTATTGATGGAAAGCAAGATACTCCAACAGTGCAGTCCATTTAAATGTTTAAAGAGCATGAATTCCACATTATTTATCTTTATGCTCCCAACAGCACCCAACGTAGAAGTCCTCTGTACATTGAGTTAAAAAGGTAACTGTTATAATTTTTTTAAGTGACCTACTGGAGTCAGCAAGCTGTTTCATGCCTCAAACTGTATATTCCATTTCACTGGCGAGGGTACCTTACCCATCTTTTCCCACTGCAGCATGGGATTCTGTATTAGTGACAGATCGTCGGAACAGGAGACACACACTGAGCACCTAGTATATGTTAGGCAATGTGGAAGGCCCAGTCAGACAAATACGGACTGTCAAATTGAAAGTGGATAATACATATAGATGCAAAGATTTTATATATATTTACATATATACATATACATGTGCATATATAGTTCTTTCTGTGGCTCATTTTTTCCCCTCTTCCTCTCTGTAATTGTATTTCCACATGTAAAATGGCTTCGCTGCACCCAGCTTATTAGTGACCGATGCAGGTTCCCTCCCAAAGAGACTCGTGTGGTATCCATCATGAAAACAGCTGACACAAACAGGAGGACCCTGGAGAACTCTCTTTGGATGGTGGGGCGGGACGAGAAACATCTCCTGTGCACCCAACTGAAAAAAAACAAAAATCGTACTAATGTTCTAGAATGTTCCATTACATTCATCATTTTCCCTTGGGTCCTAATAAAGAGAAAATAATTCTCAATGGTGTATGCACTTAAACATTTCAAGTTAACTTCAGAAATTGCATCACCTAACATTTCAAGATGTTGGGGGAAATTTTGTGTTTTACTCTTTCTGAAGGACAAAAATAGTTTTAACCCCATCTCATTCCTGACCTGCTTACTTTTCCCCCCACAGAAAGGCAAATTCGTTATCAGCACTGAAGTTGCTGAGAACACTCCCTCTCAGACTGTTCGCCATGTCCTGTTCAGCCCCACTACATCCTTCCTATTTGCCAGAACCTATTCTGTTTGCCCTGTTGCCACAACATAAGTGCTACTAAGAACAAAGATAATCAGCTGCGCATCTGTCCCTGTGCTGAAGCCGGCCCAAGACTTGGGCAGCGTTATTGGTCAAGGCGAAACATATTTCTTCAAACATCCAAACAGTGCCTTCGTTTTTATTTTCAGTTTCCTGTTTTCTGACATAAATTCTTTGGGAATTTTACCATTGCCTGCCGCTTCCAAGTCTGCTGTTTTACATTCTTCATTAAGATGGGATGTGGTGACTACTGGAGGCTAGAGACTGGGGAAAGTAACCAATTTCACCAAATTAAAGGAGGTTGGGGAAAAGGATCCATATATTTGAGGAAAAAAATGTACTTCCATTTAGTTTTGTCTTATATAATGCAGGTGTTATAACTCTCTGTTTCAGGATTACAGGAGGGATTGTGGTTAGTCCATGGAAAAAATGTTTCTGCAAAGTACTAAATTATTTTCCATCACTGAAGCCAGTTGAACAGGCCTTACTAGCCTCCTAAACGAGTGCACCACAGACCTTGCCTGGAAGACAAAAGAAAATACACAAGAAGGAGCTGTAAAGCAAGTTTATTAATTTGCTACTTTAGACTTTATTCCAACATGGTTTTATATGTATTGAGGCCCTGTCTAATCAATGTTTGTTATCAAGGCAGTTAAAATAGATTTTGTGACTTTTTTGTTTTTCCCCTCATCTGACCAGCTTTTAGCCAAAGTCACTCATAGTTGTTCTGGCACTGGATAAATGTCTGAGATAGATGTACGAACTGTAGAAACTGTGTCTTCTTTTTCTCACAACGGTTTATTCCTATAAGAAAAAGAGAAGGAAATATAAAGTTTGCTTTTGAGTTCAGTTTGGGCAGTACCTTTGGGATATGTTCATTATGTAATTGAGGGAGTCATTCCTGGGACTAGGTGAACACAAGCTAATGTTGACAGCTGACAAAAGGGGTATGGTACAATGTGTGGGCCCGAGGACCTGAGCAGTAGACCAAGGGATTCTAGAGATCTCCAGGCCTGACTTGAAAGAGCACAGCAAAGCAAGTTACTACCACAGACCTATTTCTTGCAACTCACAGCCTTCTCTGGGGTGTACTAGCTCTGCACAACCATCAGGAAACACACAAGCCCACAGTCTCAGTTATCAGTGACTTCTTCCATCGCCAAGCCTCAAGGAAATACAAAGAAACTCCTTACAAAATGAGGATGCATGGTTCAAACCACCAATTGATTAAGGATTGGGAATTACATTAAGCCTACCGCAAACTACAAGAAGTGAACTGGTTCCAAGCTCCTCCAACTACATACTACTTGTTAATTCCTCAATGATCACAGCCCACAGAAGCGTTTCCTTAACTAGCCTTTCGGATGGTCAGAAAGGATTTCTGGTTTATATCTCATTCTGCTTTAAGCTTTGGGCCCCAGAACCTGCCACCAGGGCTCTCCATGGGGTATAAGAAAGGGGGGATCTTGGGACCTACAGTGCAACCTCAGTGTTCTGTAAAAATTCTCTCCTCCTGGCCGGACGGGGGCTCACGCCTGTAATTCCAACACTTTGAGAGGCCGAGGCGGGCAGATCACTTGAGGTCAGTTCAAGACCAGCCTGGCCCACATGATGAAACCCCGTCTCTACAAAAAATACAAAAATTAGCCAGGTGCGGTGTCAGGTGCCTGTCGTCCCAGCTACTCGGGAGGCTGAGACAGGAGAATTGCTTGCACCCGGTAGGTAGAGGTTGCAGCGAGCCGAGATTGTGCCACTGCACTCCAGCCTGGACAACAGAGTGAGACTTTGTCTCAAAAAAAAAAAAAAAATCTTTCCTCCAAGTCCTGATTCAGCCTGACCTGGTTTGGCTTGTGTTAGCAGAAGCAATCAAAGTTCAAAGTGCCTTGGATCTAGAATGCCAATGGGTTTATTTCCTGAAATTTTCTGTAAAGTGAAGTGGAAGGAAACAGGTTCCATCTGTAAGATATTCATCTTCTGGTAAGGTCTCCACTGCAAGCCTCTGGTTGTTTGCAAATAGCTCCTCGGTACCTACTCACAGATCTGTGCCTGGGCAATTCTATTGCAGAGAAGAAATTATTTTGCAAATCGGGTTCTCAGACAATAAAAGATGTTTGAAAAGCCTCCTGCTACACATTTTGAAAGATTGTTAATGGGAGCATGGAAATATATTTAATCTCTCTTAAATCTTAAAGACTGTAAGACTCATATGTCGGTATTTTTTTCTGCTTCCTTTTTAAGAGAAAGGTGATGCAGAGCCAGAGAGTCCAGACAATGGCACATCGAATACATCGTAAGTCTCTTTCGTTTTTCTATCAGAGATGCCTCTTCTTAAATATGCCTCATAAAATGAGATAGTGCGAGTATCTTGTAATAGTAATAATGATGATGGAAGGAAGCCCATGGTTCTCTTTTCTCATGATAATGTCTTTTTAAATGCTTTGGGTGCAGATGCATTTTGAGGGCTTTTTTATGCTTTAGCAGAGTAAGAGGAATCTTGAAAAATGCAGATGCTTCTCTTTATGAAGTAGAAATGTAATGAGATTTGAGCACGTGTGCTGGGGGGATTTGGTTGGAGACTTTCAGCATCGTCTTAAGAATTACAGAACTTTTCACACTTAAAGTGGGAGGTGTACTGTCCCACACCGCTGTGCAGTAACAGGGTCGTTTCAGAAGCTTGCCATCTGCAACCTCACCTTGGAATTATGTGAAAAGTACAATGATCGGTATCTATGGAATCTCCAGAGTTTATTTTTTTGAATTAACAAAAGCAGTTTTAAAAACATAAGAAAAGGCCCTTATAAAACATGTGCTCCTCACTCTGTGTTTTGTCTGTTTCTTCTCAATATTCAAGGAATCCAAATGTATTTTTACTGATTAATTTGATGCCAAATTGATATACCAACATTTAAATTAAAAAATTCATGAGCTAACACGTGACTTTATTTTAGCTCCGTAAGAGTCAGTAACAGGTTTGCTCCTTAAAAATCTTTATTTTTATCACTTATGAGCAGTGGCGTGTGTTTTCTTATTATAAGACAGGCTTTGTGAATTTATCTGTATGGGGATCAGTGTTCTTATTACTAAGCATTTTTTTAAGTGCTATTGATTGGAAATCAGTTTGCAGTAAAATATTGAGTGTCTTATTTTGCCCAAAATCTGCTTCTTGGTCTAGAAAGATCCTTTGGCTTAAATAGGAGAGATGTATATTTCATAAGAGATATGAATATATGTTTGTCTTTCGTAAGATACTTCCCTAAAAGTTCTAAATAGTTCCATTGTCCTGCTTTCAGATGATATAATGAATGTGACTGGTCTTAAATGGTTAAAATATTACTAATTTTTAATTTTTGTGTGTTGTAAAATATAATGGGAAAGGCTTTTAATGCCATCTGGAGGCATTCTAGAGAACTGAAAAGGGTAGAATCATTGGAAATTCAGTTCTTTTGAGTAACATTAGAAACTGCATAAAAATTCATGCGACCAGAATGTAAGCTATTTGGGGGAAGTTGTATTTTTTAATAAATTATTTTATAAAAGTTTTAATTGTAGAAACATTTTTTTTCAAATTCTCCATAATGAAATTATTTTAAAGACTGATAAAGAACGTAAAAAGTATGTTGGAAAGTGACTAGCATCCTACGTTTAATTTTACGTATTTTAAAATCACATTCAGTAGGCACCCTTTTGGTTAGGACAGTTGGAAGTGCTTTTAAAGTTCTCCTTCCCTCACGTATTTCTAAAAAGTCCATTCCCAGCCAGTCTCAATGGCTCACACCTGTAATCCCAACACTTTGGGAGGCCGAGGCAGGTGGATCACTTCAGACCAGGAGTTTGAGACCAGCCTGGCCAACATGGCAAAACCTCGTCTCTACTAAAAATACAAAAATTAGCCAGGCGTGGTGGCACACACCTGTAATCCCAGCTACTCGGGAGGCTGAGACACAAGAATGGCTTAAACCCAAGATCATGCCACTGCACTCCAGCCTGAGTGACGGAGTAAGACTCTGTCTCAAAAATAATAAATAAAAAAATAAAAAGTGTATTCCCTAAAAGCATTGGTTTGCTTTACTCTGTACCTTATTTCTTACCATATTTATAAAAGTAGGTATATTGGCCAGGCATAGTGGCTCACGCCTGTAATCCCAGCCCTTTGAGAGGCCAAAGCAGGCAGATCACGAGGTCAGGAGATCAAAACCAGCCTGGCCAACATGCTGAAACCCTGTCTCCACTAAAAATACAAAAAAAATATATATATATATAAGCTGGGTGTGGTGGCACACACCTGTAATCTCAGCTACTCAGGAGGCTGAGGCAGGAGAATCACTTGAACCCGGGAGGTGGAGGTTGCAGTGAGCAGAGATCATGCCACTGCACTCCAGCCTGGGCAACAGAGGGAGACTCCATCTCAAAAAAAAAAAAAAAAAAAAAAAAAAAAATATATATATATATATATATATGTTGTCTGAGGAATTACTTTTAAACCCTCTGGAAATATAAAAACAATGGGAGCTTGAAGCATCACCCCATATTCCTACCTCTTTGAGCAAAGCAGTTTCTTAGGCACCTGCCTCTTAAACTAGAAATAACAGGTTGCAAGCATCTCTCCTAAAAGTGGAGAATTCTGAACTTGAAACCACTCAAGAGACCTCTAACAGAGGTTCTGTTATAATTGGTATGAGGTGCAGTATGTTACGGATAAAGAGTGAGATTCAGAATGCCTTCGATTTGTGTAGCATTTTACATTCTTATGTGCAGCATCTGTCTGAGCTTCTTTAGGTAGGTAGGATAGAGGTAATATCCGCATATTATGGATAAGGAATCTGAGGATCAGAAAGGTCACTCCAGGCCAGGTGCGGTGTCTCACACCCATAATCCCAGCACTTTGGAGGCCGGGGCGGGTGGATCACCTGAAGTCAGAAGTTTGAAACCAGCCTGGCCAACATGGCGAAACCCCATCTCTACTAAAAATACAAAAATTAGCTGAGTGTGGTGGCACGTGCCTGCAATCCCAGCTACTGGGGAGGGTGAGGCAGGAAAATCACTTGAACCTGGGAGGCAGAGGTTGCAGTGAGCTAAGATTGTACCACTGCACACCAGCCTAGGCAACAGAGTAAGACTCCATCTCAAAAAAAAAAAAAGAAAAGAAAAGAAAAAAGTGTCATTCCACATAAGTGAGGAGTTAGAGCATAAACCTTCTGATTTTTACCCATTTTCCATACTAAGGTGGGTGTGGGTCTCAAGAGACAAACTAAGACCATGAGTCACAATAAGTAGGAAAATTGGGAGCAGAGGATTTGTTAAGTGGGAAGCATGTTAGTTTGGTAGGGCTGCCAGAACAAAGTACCAGCAGGTAGGTGGCAAGAGTAACAGAAATTTATTTTCTCATGGTTCTGGAGGCTGGAAGTCCCAGTCAGGGTGTCAGCAGGGTTGGTTGCTTCTGGGAGATGTAAAGAGAGGAGTTGTCCCAGGCCTCTCTTCGCTTGTATTTGACCATCTCCTCCCGACATGTCCTCACGCAGTCTCTCTGTGCACGTCTATCTCTGTGTCTGTTTGTATAAGGTCAGCATTCATATTGGATTAGGGCCCACCCTAATGACCTCATTTTAACTTCATTACCTCTGTAAAGACCCTGTCTCTAAATAAAGTCACATTCTGAGACACTGGAAGTTAGGGTTTCAACATATGAATTTTGGGAAGAAATAGTTTGGCCCATAACATTAAGGGGCAGAGTAATCAGAATGATTCAGGAGTCAGGTAAACAGAACCAGGGGTATACAGATTTATGAAAATGGGAAAAGAGGAGACAGCCTAAGTAAAACATGAAACATGATGGGCTCCATGGCAGCTGAAGGAGTGGAGCAGAGCAAAGAAAATGGGGCTAGCAAGCATGGGGCACTAGGAAAGATGCATCTTTCACATTCATGGTGTTGTGGAACTGGTGTGGCTTCAGCAAAGGTGCCTGTACATCCCTCTGTCTGTATAACTCTATGACCCTGAGTCACTAAAGCCATTAAATGGGCTTAAATTGTAATCCAAGGTTGGGAGTCTCCGAACAGAAGACCTTATTTCCTAACGAAGCATCTTTCTTCATGGCCTCCTTTAAAAACAGGAGATCTATCATGATTGGTTTCAGATGGTCAATGCCTGGCAGTACAACACAGTCTGGATAATACCTGAGTCAATATGTATTATTTAGTGATCCTATGAGCATTCAGGATGATGAAAGAAGTGATTTAATCTTAACATGTACACACACACGAAAGCACAAATTAAAATGTCTGTGACAGACTTCTAGTTATATTAATGATGGAAGAACTTATCTTGGACTAACTGTCCGGCAGATAGCTGTTATAAACTCTGGACAAAATACTTTTGTTAAAAATAACTATTTGTAGTCTAACTAAAAGAAGGCAGAGAATGTAGGAAATTTGATCCTTGAAAGAGGGTCACTGGACTGAGTGAGAACTACGTTTATATAGCTTCTCCCATGAGGGCATGCCCCAGTCCACAAAGAACAACTAGAACTCAAGGAGAAAGCCAGAACTGTAATGGCTTGAGGTGTCAGGGGATAGAGTTCAGGGCTGCCAGAGTGGCTGGGAATTGAGTAAGTCACAGAAAGAAAAGAGCCCTCCCTTCTGTATATAAATTTCCATCAATCCTTGAATAACCTCTAAACTGCATATGTGTGGGGAATATGCCAGTGAGCCTAGTGGAAAACAATTACTAGAAAGCCAAAAATGCTGAGCAGAGATTTCAGCTGCTGCCTACTGCCTACAGCTACTGCCTACAAAGTTCAGAATCTGAATCCTACCCAAGTTAGAGGGGCTTGGCAAATGCCTCAGATTTTCTATTGAAACCCCAGAAGGGGAATGTGCTTTCAGAGTAAAGGAGTCACCCTAACATTAAGGGCAAAACCAAAACAGATCCTTCCTAACAAAGTATAACACTAAATATCTAAAAGCTCAAGCTAATCAGCTAAAGGTTGTATTGCCTGATAGAATAAAAAACAATCAACACTGTTTAAAAGAAGAAAAGAGAGTTTAGAATCTCTAAAACAAAATTTACAGTGTTCATTAACCAAAACTTAAAAGACATATGAGAAGGAAAATGTGACCCATAATCAAGAGAAAAAATAGCCACTGTAATAGACCCTGAGATGACCTAGATGTTAGAATTTTCAGACAAGAATTATAAAGCAACTACTATAATATGTCCAAGGATGTAAAGGAAAACATAGTCATCATGACTGAAAAGAAGGAGAATCTCAGCAGGGTAATGGAAACCAATCTA